TGGCAGCTTTCTCACTGAGGAAGCCCTTGAGTACCCTGTGTGCTGGCACTGGATTCACCCACTGAGGGAGGGAAGAGATCTTGCGCCCTGCAGCATGGGTGCCTCTTCACCAGATTGGTGAAACTCAGAACTGGAGTCACTTCCAAATCCAGGTGCCTTAAGTGTGGCTGTGTCCCATATGCTGCTGGGGAAAGCTGCATCACCACCATTCCCTCCTCCTCACCTGCAGACAGACATCAGCACTGTCTTAACCTTCTCTATTTGTGGTTCCTCTAATGGGATTTGTGTGTTCCTGGCAATCTTCCGAACACTCCCTTCTCTCTGTAATAAAAGCCCAATTGGGAGAGTTTCTGCCACCTGAAATTTAAATATTGACCAGGATATGCTTTCTGGAGCTGCCCAGAGCTCTGCTGAACAGAGTGTGTCTTAAAGGTGTGTCCCAGGGCAGACTCTCTCCTGTGCGCTAAGGGGCTGTCTCTTTCCCGCCCTGTTAGCTTTTGCTAGGAAGATACCTGGAGGATGGAGAAGATGGGCACCCTGGCTTGAGTAGTGCTGTATCCCCTTCCCTTTTAGCTTGCCTTAGTCTCACTGGAGACCATTTTGAGACCAAGTGCTCACCTGTGCCCAGCAGGACAGGAATTTGCCATCTTCTCCTGAAAGCCCAGAGTTCTGTCTGGGGCTCTCAGGGGTCCTGTGTCTAGCTGTTCAGGAAATCTCAAGAAGCATTACCACTCTAGGTGTTAACTGAAATGAATTAAAAATTTAAACATTTACACCTGAATCCAGGAGGGTATTGGAAGTCATGCTTTCTCTGAGAGTAGATGAACCAGTCCGAAGTAGAGCCAGGAGGCTGTGCTAAGTAATCTGGACTGTTGATAGCGGTTTTCTGGTACGTGACATAATATGAGGGAACAAAACAAGCTCCATGCAGGGGAGCCCGTGCCCTCTGTGAAGAGCTGGCATCAGAGGCAGCTCCTGGAGAGAGCTCACTCCAGCAGCCCACTTGGGGCAGGTCCTCTGCCTCGTCCCTCTGTCCCCTGTCCCTCTGTCTTGGAATCCCTAGAGAGGGCCTCTCCTTTCCTGTACAGACTTCAGGCTAAGTTGCCCTCCTGGGAAGATCCTATGGAAGATTCTGGTTTCCTTCCATGTTCTAAAGTGTACAACTAGAAGTAATTTGGGGCTTAAGGCTGTCATCTCTTTTGTTAGCTCAAAGTTGTCTTGTGGAGAAAAGATTCTCCAGGGGCATGGACTTCCTGAAGAGACCTGAGGCTTTGACACCTGATTTCTGAAACCTAGGGACAGTGGCTTCAGATGTCTGGTAATGACCATAGAAATGTCAGTGATTGGTAATCTTCAACTTAATTTTTCAGTGGAAGTAGAGCCCATTTCTGGACTGGATTAATAGATTGTGTCTAAGGTGCAGACTCAGTGAGTTTGCATTTAGTGTGTTCTGCCAACATGGTGAACTCCCAGGGTATTTTTTTTTTTTCCTTTGTAAAGTCACTTTCTTCTGGTGACCAATGTCACCATGATATCAGTAGTTGTTTGGGAATGGGAACAGTGTGTCTTAAGAATGACTGCATAGATCCTTGTCAGTGCACAGGATTCCTGTTGAAGAGGTGCTGCCATACCTAGTGTAGAAGCCTAGTTGTTGAACCATCTTATTACATTCCGTGTCACAGAACCTCCTAGCCACAATAAGGATCTGATGGAGATGGATTTACCCTTTGATTTACAAAATATCATGTAAAGTCATTAAAATTGTGAAAGTCTATTTTTTCCCTGTAATTCTATTTTTCACAGAATATAAAAAACGTCAATGACCTGATCTGTCCTTCCTCCTCTTCCTCACTTCACCCGAGATCCTCATTCCTGTTTGTATTGTTTTTGTGTCCAAAGTAAACTAGGTGACTTATTTGTATAAAATGTTATTTTGCCACAGAGACAGTAATTAAAGAAAGATTTTCACAGTACCTCCACCCTGTCTTATCTCCTGACTGGGCCCTGGGCATTGCTGGGGTTCTGGGGTGGGGCAGGGGCGGTTTCCAGATTTCTCTTCTCTTGGTTATTACATGGGCTTTCTTTGAGTGAGCATAGCTGATTTCTAGGATGATGGGGGACAGTATGTGCTTTAGGTTGAATGATTTTGCTTTGTTTTCCAGGGTGCTTTGAGAATTGAAAATTTGCATACATGTTTTAAAGACAGGCTTTTTCAGGTATATTCAACAGTAAAATTCACCTCAAGAACACAGTCTGGGGGCTGGGGTTGTGGCTCAGCAGTAGAGCCCTAGCCTAGCACGTGTGAAGCCCTGGCTTCAATCCTCAGCACCACATAAAAATAAATAAAAATAAAGATGTTGTGTCCAATTACAACTAAAAAAAATATATTTTTTAAAAAGAATATAGTATGATGCATTTTGACAAAGGCAGTCTTACTGTCCCCACCAGTTTTGACAGAGGATACTTTCATCACACCCACTCCAGAGCTTAACCTTGAGTTCTGCATGCTTGAAGGCAGTTCTTTCCCCCTGCCTCAACCTCTTATAATCAGTCTGATTCTGTCTCTATTAGAAAACGCGTGTGTGTCGGGGGGGGGGTATTTTTGCTACTAGGAGTTTAAAGATGGGAACTATACCACTGAACTACAGTCCTAGTCTTTTTAAATTTTGAGACAGGTCTTGCTAAGTTGTGTAGGCTGGTGTCAAGCTTGCAGTCCTCCTGACTCAGCTTCCCAAGTCATTGGGATTACAGATTTGTGCCACCACTCCCAGCAGAAAACTTGTGTACTCTTAAAATTTCTTTTCTTTTTTTTTGTAGATGGACATAATGCCTTTTATTTTATTTATTTATTTTTATGTGGTGCTGAGGCTCGAACCCAGTGCCTCAGATGTGCTAGGCAAGTGTTCTACCACTGAGCTACAACCCCAGCCCTCGTATATTATAATATAAAGCTCACCTATATTTATTGTCATAGCCAATATAATTTTAAAATAAGAGGCTGGGGGCATAGCTCAGGGGTAGAATGTGCAGCACAAGACCCTGGGTTCAGTTCCCATCAACAATAAATAATTAAGGGTTTGGTTTAGATGGTCAGGGACACCTGAAGCAATTGTTGCCCTCTGCTCACAAACATAATTCTTCTTTTTTCCTTTTTCTCCTGCTTGTTTTCTTTTTTTTTTGTCTTCTACCCTGAGGCTTGTGCCTAGGTGGGTAGGATGACTGGAAGATAAAGAAAACCTCAATGTTTGTCAATGACAGTCATTTGATTTTAAAGCACCGTGGATTGAGAGACTTTTTTTGTTTTGTTTTGTTTGCACTGGGGACTGAACCCAGAGGCTCTCAACCACTGAGCCATATCCCCAGCACTTTGTATTAAAAAAAAAATTAGGGGGCTGGGGTTGTGGCTCAGCAGTGGAGCACTTGTCTGGCACATGCAGGGCCCTGGGTTCAATACAAATCAATAAAATTAAAGGTATTGTATCCAATTACAACTAAAAAATAAATATTTAAAAAAATTTAGGTGCACACAATATCTTTATTTCATTTTTATGTGGTGTTGAGGTTTGAACCCAGTGCCTCATGAGTGCTAGTCAAGGGCTCTACTACTGAGCCACAACCCCAGTCCCACACTTTTTATTTTGAGACAGGCCCTAACACTCCCTAAGTGTGTTAGGGCCTCACTAAGTTGCTGAAGCTGGCTTTGAATTTGTGATCTTCCTTCTGCTTCAGCCTCCAGAGTCACTGGGATTACAGGTGTGTGCCACAGTGCCCAGTGGGAGACTTGCATTTTTTAAATTCATTTTTTAAAACAAAATGTTAAATACTAAGGCCTTTGCTTGATTATTCTCTAGGAAGTGGAGCACAGGGTTTTTGGCATGTTGGGTCAGTACAGGGGTCAGATGCCTGGCTGAGTTATGGGAAGAAAGGCAGCTGGGGGGGATGTGTGGTTTCCTCCAGGGAGGCTGTGAAAGTCAGGTTGACTGTGCCAAGGGCAGTCGGTCTTGGACAGGTGACACCTTTATTGTTTCTGGAGCAGAGTGTAGGTGTCCTGATAAGGATCCTAGGGATCAGATTCATACCTCTGCCCCCCAGGTGGGACATTGGACAGTGGAACAGAGAAGTTACACCCCACCTTCACCACCTCTGGGGGAAAGAACTCTCCCTGCGTATCCACTACGTTTCATGGGCCTAAATACTAACCACCAGAGAAAGACAAACCTTTGCTCCTCTTGAGGCCCAAGGAACTAGTGGAGGAGATGAAAAGATAATTTCAGATGTAAAGCATCAAGAATAAACGGATAGATGGAGAATATGCTCGGGAGAAAATCTGGCCTGCTGTGGACAGGGCAGCTTGGGTGAAAGGCAGGGGGACAGTGATTGCAAAAGCCCAAAGAAAGAACAAACTGGAGTCTTAAGAGAAAAGCTGCCTACCTGCCTTCTGTGGCTGAAGGGAACTGTGGGGCTGCGCCTCAGAGGTGAGTGGGTAGGGTTAGGGCTTAGCGCGTAAGGTCATGGGACTGGATTTTAGGAGAGATGGGTCCTTTGAAAGGGGTTTTCAGGGGCTGGGGCTGGAGCTCAGCGGTAGAGCGCTCGCCTAGCACGTTTGAGGCCCTGGGTTGGATCCTCAGCACCACGTAAAAATAAATAAAATAAAGGTATTATATATATGGGGTTTTCAGCCGATGGCTGCTCTCATTTTGGCTGTTTGGAGGTGGGATCTCCGACGTTGCCTAGGGTGGCCCCTAACTCCTGGGCTTAAGCAATCCCCCTCCACCCCACTAGCTGAAACTACCCGGGCCGCCTCTGCACCCCGCTTTTGAGGGTTGCTTTCCTAGTATGCTTAAAAGACTACTGCGGCCTTTTTGAGAGATGCATCCTTGGTTCTGCCCTGTTATCAACGGCCAAAGGGACAGCAAGCTGACAGACTCGAGAACACTTAGCCTGCGCAGGAAATGATCATCCAATCTCCGGGCGCCTAGGCCCCTCCCCTGCCATCCGAGGGGCGTGGCCTCGGCGGTGGCGGCCCCGCCCCCCGCAGTCCGGAACCCGCGCGCTCACTGCCGGAGGTGGCGGAGATTCGCCCGCTTCTGTGCGCGTCCATGGCCGCCGCGCTGCTCGCCCGGGCCTGCGGCCCCGTCCGCGGAGGTGAGTGTGCCTGGGCTGCGCACGCCAGGCCGTGGCCCCGGCCCGCCGAGCCGGCGTAGGTTCAGTCAGCGTGTCCTGCCCAGCACGGGTGGACGGGCTGGCCACACCCGCTCAAGAAGGCCCGCGACCTTTGCCCCAGTTCAGCTGACCCTGGCGCCCGCCTGGCCTGACCCTTCCCCTGCTGCTGTCCAACCCCCAACCCCTGGAAGCCCCTACTTTCAACCCATTTCGCACAGCTTGCGCCTACACTCCTGCAGAGTCCCAGGTCCACCCTTCCTCTAGTGCCAGGCCTGAGAACTACTTCATCAGTGACCTTGGACAAAACACTTAGTTCCTTGCAGCCTCAGTTGGCCTAAGTATGAAATGGCCACAGTGTATTACTACTATTCTCAGAATTGTTGGAAGGATTAAGTCACAGGGTTTATAAATTACTTAGTACATGTCTGGCACATAGCCGGTGTTCCTATGTAATGTTAATTGTTGACTATTTAATATAGTACCTTTCCCATCATATCATTTGTCTCCAGGTGTAGCAGCAGTGACACACATTTGGCTGAATCAGATTTGAACTGATCCACAGATCTAATAGATCTCTCCCTAATAACAATAAGGAGACCCCTTGATGGAGAACTATGCAAAGTGCAACTGTTAGTATTTCTTTAATCCTCCCTCTTGCAGGAGCTGAGGGTTATTGTTGCCCACATTTTATAGAAACTGAGGCTCAGGCTTAGTATGGTGGCTCATGTCTGTAATCCTAGCAACTCTGGAGGCTGAAGCAGGAAGGATCACTACTTCAAGGCTAGAGCCTCAGCTACTTAGCTAGACCCCATCTCAAAAAGTGTGGGCGATATACTCAGTGGTAGAATGCTCCTGGGTTCAATCCCCAGTTCCAGGAAAAAAAAAAAAACAAAGAAAGAAAGAAACTGAGTGTTTAAACCTTCTTCTAAAGTCATGGAGTTGTAGTCTTATTATATTTGGTGTCATATTGAGCATTGAATAAAATGGAAGTGTCTGGAAAGTGTTTAGTTAGCTTGGGGTTTTTCCGCAGTAGCACTATTGCATTTGGGCTGACATTTTTATTTATGTATTTCTTTCTTTTTTTTTTTAAAGAGAGAGAGAATTTTAATATTCATTTTTTAGTTTTCGGCGGACACAACATCTTTGTATGTGGTGCTGAGGATCGAACCCGGGCCGCACGCATGCCAGGCAAGCGTGCTACCGCTTGAGCCACATCCCCAGCCCTTTATGTATTTCTTTAGAGAGGATTCTTGCTATGTTGTCCAGGCTGGCCTCAAGTTCTTGGGCCCCAGTGATCCTCCTGCCTCAGCCTCCTGAGTAACCGGGACTATAAGAGCTCTGTCACCACACAAGCATGTTTGTTTCTTTCTTTCTTTCTTTTCTTCTTCTTTTTTTCTGTACTGGGATTGAACTTGAGGCTGGCACATACTAGGCAAGTGTTCTAAACAGAGGTACATCTCTAGCCTTTTTATTTTTTTGTCTTGAGACAGAGTCTTGCTAAGTTGCCTAGACTGGTCTTGAGCTTGTGATCCTCCTGCCTCAGCCTCCTAATTAGCTGGAATTACAGGCATGTGTCCCCCTCCCTAGCTCCATAATTCTTTCTTGTGGGGGTTGTCATGTGCATGGGTAGGAACTCTGGCCTCTGCCCACTGGATACCAATAGCATTTCTCCTTTAGTTGTAACAACCCAAAATATATCCAGACGTTGCCAGATGTCCCTTAGGGATCAAAATTTTCCCTGATGGAGAAGCTCTTAGTGAGTGGATCATGATTATTGTTATTAACAATTATTGTTGCTATTATTATTATTCAAGATCTCTTTCATTCTCTTTCTACTGACTCCTGCTATGTCTGCTGGCAGCTCTCCATACTCGGGTCTGGCGGAGGTTGCACACTATCTACCAGTCTGTGGAACTGCCTGAGACACACCAGATGTTGCGGCAGACGTGCCGGGACTTTGCTGAGAAGGAGCTGTTTCCCATTGCAGCCCAGGTGGACAAGGAACACCTTTTTCCGGCTGCTCAGGTGAGCGCACCAACCATAGCAGCCCATTTTGGCCATCTGCCCTCAGATGACTGGTTACAGTGGGGGAGAGGTGACAGTGACAGCCAGAGTCTCTAAGAGTCAGGGAACCTCAAAGGAAGGCATGGGACCCCAGAAATGCTCTGAGTTCACCATGAGGCCTTTAACCAGGATTCTACTTCTAGAACAATACTAATCGATAACAGGTGGTCAGTATGCTTTAATGCTCACAGGATGGTGGCCATGTGCCTTCCTCACAAGGGTCCTTTGGGGCAAAGGTGTTATTATTATATCCCCATCGTAGCGCTGAATGAGGCTCAAGTTTATGAGCAGGTTAGATAATGTACCCAAGGTCATGAAACTAATCAGCTGCAGAGTTAGATCTTTGTCCCAGGTCTCACTTCTCTCAAGCCTTGAGAACCCCACCAATAAGTGCCTTCCCATGTTCTATTTATGCTCAGTCCATATGCAATGAAATGTTTAAGCTGTTACCAGTGCATCCCTTGACCTAGCAAGATGGCAGGAAAATGGTATAAACACTTAATAGGTACTTGTTGAATCAGTGGTTTGTGAAAGTACAAGTGTTGGGCGCTAATCACATGCCTGTAATCCCAGCAACCTGTGGAGGCTGAGATAGTGGGATCACAAATTTAAGGCCAGCCTCAGCCATTTAGTGAGACCCTAAGCAACTTAGTGAGACCTTGTCTCAACATAGAAATATAAAGGGCTGGGAATGTGGCTCAGTGGTAAAGCACCCCTGGGTTCAATCCCTAGGACCACCCCCCCCCAAAAAAAAAAAACCCCAAACAAATGTTTCTTGCCTGTTTTTCAGTCAGAGTAATTTCAGAGTTGTGGTCCCCATGTACATGTCCTGCAGGTGCTGGAGCTGCTCTTCCAGCTTAATGAATGTGGTCATTATACTGGGCACTGTGCCCGGACGGTGGGAAGACCCAAGGAGCTCCAAGCTCCTTGTGAATACACAAGTGGCATTCTGGGTACCAAAATCAGCTCGGCATTTTGTAGGTATTAGACATGTCAACTCCTTTAATCCTGAGGAAATCCCTACTTAATCTAGTCTCCATGTTGCTTTCTGGAATGATTGCCATGATGAAGTGAGATCACGTTTCACGGATGCCTGGTACCTGGTACTTGAACAATGGTAGTTATTAATATGATAGTTGTTATTTTCATTACTCTGCCACGCAACCAGCGCTGGCTTCATGAAAGAAGGTTCAGTTCATAAGTAATTGCTACGGAGTTTTAAATTAAAGAGACAAGACTCTCATTACCTTTAATACCAGCTCCAGGATGGCTTCTCCTAGCTCCCATCTCCAGCCACCTAATGCGGTGGCAAGGTTTACAGAAGAGACTAGTGAGAGAGAGAGAGAGAACACGCCAGGGAGTGGGCTTTTATTGGGGAACAAAAAATTCCAGGGAAAATCCCATCCAATGAAGGTTAAGGGGGGCAGCATCCCAAGGTCAGGGGCGACGATTGGGTCTTCAGGGCAGTGGCCAGGCACGCCTCTGCACAAGCCCTTGGACCTGGGAAAGGGTGGGGAATAGCTCTGACAAAGCTAAGTGCCTCTCACTCAGCCAGGGAGGTAACTCAGTTCACATGCGAGGATGACCTCCTACACATTACCGTTGAGAAAACTGAAGCCTAGAGAAGGGAAGTGACTTTCCTTCCAAGGTTTGCTCGTGTTGCTAGGCTTCACAACCCAAGTCTGGCTGGCTCCAAAATCCTTCCTTCACCATCCGTGTGGTTGTCCCAGAGGCCCAGCTGGCAGGCAGGGAAGCCCCATGCTAGTTGGGAATAGTGCCATCTAGACTGCCTGGTCCCTGCCCTGCCATACTCACCACACACATACTCTCAGTGACCTCGACTTTTAGTGCCTTTGTGGAGATGTGCAAAAAGGCAGATTCTTGGTGAGGAGAGAAAGGGGAGATACAGACGGGCCTGGTGCAACAGCAGCAATTTAGGCCTTCAAGTCCTAGCTGTGTGTTGGAATCTTCCTGCCAAGTGACAGATGGCCTGGTTTATTTTTCCTATATTGTGCTCTCTCAAATTATTACCAGTATCACAAATGTAGATATTTGCTCTGTGCAAAACAACTGATGAGAGAAGCAAAACCTTTTACGAGCCTATTCTTAACTAGTTCTCTGGCTTTGTGCTCTCATGCTTGCTCTGTGGGGATGGGGACATTGCAAATTCATCCTTCCAAATTGTGGCAGTAATGGGGCTTGGAGGAGATAAGGGACCACAGCCTCTCTTCCTTCTGGCATGTGGGAGGGGACTCGTGAAAGATTTCCTCAGGGCATGAGGGTAGCTGAGTGGGTGATAGCATCCCTGTTTGGTTTTATTATGTACAAGGTGTTTGCATATCTGTGACCTCTTTGCTCTCCTTTGCCTCTGTTTGCAGGTGATATGTGTATTCTCTCTGGTTGTAGAGCTAGGGAGGAGGAGTGCCAGGCCTTCTGATCTGGCCAGTGTACCACATGAGCTAGGCACTTGTTTGGTGGCTGATGGATGCATGGGTTATTCCTCAATGTTTGCTTCTCTCATCTATGGCCTAACACTTTTTGCTTTTATCCCTGTTACTGTGTATGGTGCCAAGCGCCCAGTAATAGAAGGTAATTTAGGATAAGGCAGGCAGAAGACTCAAACAACTAGACACACAAAAATCATATGGCATATCTGCAGAATTCTATATTACACATGAATGTTTCAAAATCATAATAGAAGCAGCTGGTAGTGTGGCTCAGTGGTAGAGCACTTGCCTAGCTTATGCAAGGCTCTGGGTTCCATCCCCAGCATCACAGACACATAAAAACCAAAAAAATCATACAAAAACCCAAAATCATAATAGTAATAACATCGGTAGCCAACATTTGGAGGCTTGTATATTCCAGGTGTATATCCATATATTAACTTATTTAATCTTTAAGACTACAGGATAAGTAAGCACTTAATTATCTCCAGTTTTCAGATGAGGAAACTGGAGCCAGTGGGTAAGTTTCTTACTCAATAGTGGCACCGTTGGTCGGTGAGAAGCCAGCGACTGGCTTCGGAACCACCCCCTGCCTACAATTTCCTTAGTGATTTCTGGTATTTTTTCCTAAAGAATTTTTGTTCCGGGTTGGGGATGTGGCTCAAGCGGTAGCGCGCTCGCCTGGCATGCGTGCGGCCCGGGTTCGATCCTCAGCACCACATACAAAGATGTTGTGTCCGCTGAAAAAAACTAAAAAATAAATATTAAAAAAAAAAAATTCTCTCTCTCTCTCTGTCTGTCTCTCACTCTCTCTTAAAAAAAAAAAAAAAAAAAAAAAAAGAATTTTTGTTCCCCCAGAAAAGGAGACTTATGAGGGAAGGGTCAAGGGGAAAGGAATTGCGAGGAGGTTAGTCCAAGAATTAGGAGAAAGGCTAGGGCCAATTGGTGATCAGTGTGGCTAGTTTTGTAACCTTAATTGATCTTTAGTCTTTTTATGTGCAAACCAACAAGTGAAAGAAACAATTATGAATTCATAATGCAATTTTGCTATAAAGGGGATTAGGAAACAGAATGGTATCCCCAACAAATTTTTGACTTCTTAACCTTGAATATGTATTTATGTGTATAAAACTGAAGCCACTTTCGTCTCATTCACTTGGTGAATTATGATTGAATAAAGCAAAACCTGCTTTTCCTCCTCTTGCTTTGTCTCATATAATGGTAAAGCCACATAGAAACTTCTAGATCACACTCCATTTTTCTTCTCCCTCCTGCCCACTGACTCTTATTAATTCCACCTGGAAATGTTGTCCTGCCACCTTCTCTCATTTCTTCCAACCAGAACTTATTTCTCTGTCCCAAGGGCATTTCATTTGTAATTCATAATCCTCTGTGTTCATCACATTACATGTATTTTTTTTGTTTTTTAAGTCCCAAGGATCAATCAAATGCATCAGTCTCTATCATTGAGGCAAATCGCTAGCCATTTTTATTTTGTATTTTGAGACAGAGTCTCACTAAGTTGCTGAGGCTGGCCTTAGTCGTCATCCTCCTGCCTCAGCCTCCCAATTTGCTGGATTACAGGCATGTGTCACCATGCCCAGCTTGCATATGTCTTTTTTTTTTTTTTTTTGTAGATAGACTCAATATCTTTATTTATTTATTTTTATGTGGTGCTGAGAATCGAACCCAGGGCCTCATGCATGTGAGGCAAGCGCTGTACTACTGAGCTACAACCCCAGCCCTGCATAGGTCTTTTAAAGAATATATTCTTATTTTTAATTGACACATAGTAATTGTACATAGTTGTGGGACACAATGTAACATTTCTATGCATGTATGCAATGTACCATGATCACATCAGGATAATTGCCCCATCTGTCCCCTCAGGCATTTGTTATTTCTTTGTGTTGGGAACACTCAAGGTCCACTCTGGTGGCTGTTTTGAGATATTTAATTATTGTTGTCGTCAACCATAGTTACCTGATCCTTCTGTGCTGTGTGTCCCACATCAGTTATTTCAGACAGCTTCCCGAGGGCAGAGTCCGGCACTTGTTCTTACTCTTGTCCTCTGTCACTGTGACACCTTGTCGGTAGTAAGTGCTCAGCGGTCAACAGATGCCTATAGGGTTTTGTTGAATTAAGCCAAATTGGGCACCTGTTGGATAAGCGCCAGCTCCTGGCCTCCTCATCATCCCGGCCTGTAATCCACACACAGAGCAGCATCTGGAGGAGGGGCTGGGGGTGGAACCCGGGCCTCTGAACTGCTAGGCAAGAGTTCCACCAACAAGCTGCATCCCAGCCCCTGGGTTTTATCTTGAATTAGTGGCAACTCTTCAGCAAGGTAGGATATGTTATTTTTTAAAGGAAATTAGTTTTTGCCAGGCACGGTCGCACATCCTGTCATCCCAGCAGCTCTCGAGGCTGACACAGGAGATTGCTAGTCCAAAGCCAGCCTCAGCAACAGTGAGGCCCTAAGCAACTCAGTGAGGCCCTGTCTCTAAATAAAGTACAAAATAGGGCTGGGGATGGGGCTCAGGGGTCAAGTGCCCCTGAGTTCAATCCTTGGTAACCCCCATCCAAAAAAAAAAAAAAAGATAATTAGTTTAGTGAATAAGGTGTGCCTAGAATTAATTCAGTATTTTTAAAATGCCAGTTTAGATGAGAAGTGCCTTGAAGCATTGTTTTGATAGAAGTCCGTCCTTCCTTCCTTCCTTCCTTCCTTTCTTTTTTTTTTTCTTTCTTCTTCTTCTTTTCACTTTATAAAGAAAAGAGGTTTGTTTAGCTCACAGTCCTGGAGATTCAAAGTCCAAGATCGGGTAGTGTTGTTTGGCTTCTGGCAAAGATGTGCCCAAACAGGAAGGTCGAGGGTGAAGTGCCCTTTAAACACTCCCAAACTCGCGGCAGCAGGTGCTGGAGGCTGAGTGGTATGTGGGCTGCTGGAGGAGGGCCTCCCCTGGTTTCTTTGGGGAGTGTGGAATCCGCCACACTGGGCACCCTCGGGGGCAATAGCCTCTCTCTAAGGTGCAGGTCCAGTTGCTGGTTCTCTGACACAAGGGACCAAGAGCCACACTGTGGCCGCTCTGGGAGGTTGTCCTTGAGAGGGCCCTGAGGGTCAGGCCTCTCTGTGAGAAATGCTGAAACCAGGGCTGCCTGGCCCGCCAGCAGTCACCCCACTCACCCGCTGACCCCGCGTCCCCCCACCGCACTCTTTTGTTTTGGTTTCTTCTTTTCGTTCATGTTGTCTCCTCTCTGTCACCCTCTCTTTCCCTCACTGCTGGTCTCCTGTCCCTTTTTCAGGATGCCCTTTAATGAGAGCATATTGTCAGCTGTATGGTTTCCATCCCCAGCTTTTTTTCTAGAATGTTCCTGGGGCTGGCCGCAGCACGCTGCCTGAGATGTAGAGATCCATGTCAGACGGCGAGAGGCCAGGCAACCCGCGCTCCCTGATGAAGTGGGGTGGCTGGGTGGACACAGGCTCGGGGGTGGAGCGTTCTCCCTTTGGCCAAGGGAGTCGATGTTTGTTTGTTCTAGGGCAGTCTCTCTCTCTCTCTCTCTCTCTCTTTTTTCTGGTGCAGGGGATGAAACCCAGGGCCTTGTGCATGCAAGGCAAGCACTCTACCAACTGAGCTATGTCCCCAGCCCTTCTAAACAGCATGAGCTATTTTAGCCTCAGTCTCTTGCTGGGAGGCAGGAGAGAGAGCCTTTCAACAAGGTTCCTGTGAGGGTTGGACGGGAGTCTTAAGAGCCTTGCACATTCTAGAACCTAGAATGCAGGGTCCAGCAGCAGAGGCATTCCATAACAAACCTCTTTTGTCACCTGAAAAGAGGTTTGCTGGGTGCCTCGAGTGTGGGCTAGAGAGGTGCTGTGTCCCGAGCCACATTTGTGTCAGCACTGTGCCGTCTCCACATTCTCTGCACAGTAAAAAAAAAACTGCAGAAACCATCCTTGACTTTGAACTTGCCTGCTCCCCAGTTGATTCCTGCCTGTTGAAATGATGTTCATTTCTGGCCAGGCACAGTAGTGTGCTTTTGTCATCCCAGTGACTCAGGAGGCTGAGGCAGGAGGATTGCAAGTTTGAGGCCAGCCTCAGCAACTTAGACAGTGTCTCAAAATTTTAAAAAAGGCTGGGGATATAGTTTAGTGGCAAAGGACTCTGGGTTAACTCTTCAGGCTCTCCTCAAATAAATATTTCTGAGTAGGATCATACCCCCTCCCCCAAGTGTTTGGTGGTCACAGAATGACCAGGGATTAGGATGTGGATATCTGTGGAGGCTGCCCTTGTGCCACCTGCACCCTGGCCATCTTCTTCCTTGCATGTGTCCACTTTGGGGACTGCAGAGCTTGATCAGCACCTGGGGTCAGCACAGTGCAGACAAGTTTATGCCCCACTCATATTATGCAGGGTAGACCTGAGGTGTGGAAGCCTCACCCCACCCCAAGTTTTGAGTCTTGCAAGAGAGTTTCCCAGGGAACAGTCCAAGGAAGAATCAAGCAGGCAGTTTCATAGAGGACAAAGATTGTCACAGAAGTCAATCCCAGCAGGTTGAGAGGTACCCCTTCTCCTTGTGTCATGGTAAATAAGAACTCTCAGCCCCCTGGTGACACTAAATGCTCATCAATCTCAGAACAAACCTGTGCAGTAAGTACTGTTTTTTTGGGGGAAGAGGAATGAAAACTTTCAGAATCCAGAACTAAGATTAATTATAGAAAAAGAAGAAAAGACCCACAGGCCTTGTTCTTAGTTTATTCCTTTAAGTGAAATGGTAAGAAAATGGTTATAAGAATGCGTCAGTATCCCTGGAGTCTGCACCCGTGGATTCAGCCAACCTAGGATCAAAAATATTCCAAAAAAGAACTCTGCCTCTTTCTGAACATGTCCACCTGTTTTCTTGTCATTATTCCCTAAATGATACAATATAACAACTGGGTACAGAGCATTTACATTATAGTAGGGGTTCAGAGTCATCTAGACATGGTTGAAAGTTTCTGGGAGAGAGCTGGGGATGTGGCTCAGGGTGGTGTGTGACCTGGCCTACACAAGGCCTAGCATCTGTTAGTCAACCCGTCAGTTTATCAATCAACCCATTTCCTCCATGCTGTAGAGATAAGACACCATTTTATACGAGAGACTTGTGCTTCTGCGGGTTTGATATCTGCAGGGCGTCCTGGAACCAGTCCCCTTTGGATGCCAGAGGGTGACCATAGGAGAGGGTTCATCAAAGCACTTCCCCTTCCTCCCGCTCCCTGCGTCTCAGAGGCACCTGGTTTTGGTTGTTTCTCCCTGAAGTTAGGTAGGTTTGTTTGTGGTCCGCATCTCAGGTGCACAGCAGCCTTTGGAAAGGTTAAGGGATTTGTCATAGGTTAGCAGGGGCAGAGCTGGGCAGTATGATAAGCTAGTTAAGATTCTGTGCCTTGCCCAGGTTTCAGTCCCAACCATAACTTACATACTCTGTGGCCTGGAGCAGATTCCTTAACCTCTCTGAACCCAGTTTTTTCAGTTGTACTAAAAGGCTAACATGAGCATTGTTTCACATAACTTCTGAGAGACTCAAATGAAGCAGTACACATAAATCACTTAGGTACAGAATTTGGCATACAATAGGCACTTGATATTAATAATTACTATTATTATTATTGTGATTATTCCAAATAAAAAAATCCTAAACTCTTATCATCCCTTCTTTCCTTTTACTGGCATTGGGTATGTAGCAGTGAGGAAAAACAAAGTCCCTGCCCCTCATGATCAAAGAGAGAGGCCTTAGTCAGAACGAGCACATTGATAGACCTGAAATTCTGGCTGCAGAGCTATTGTGAGGGTGTTGCAAGAGCGTGATTTCACTCAGTGCAACAGAGTGGTGGCCCAGAGGGGTGGGGCTTGAGCTGAGATCAGGAGAGGAGAAGTCTGACACGGTGGCACACGCCTGTCATACCAGCGGTTTGGGAGGCTGAGACAGGAGGATCACAAGTTCAAGGCCAGCCTCAGCAACTTAGCGAAGTGCAAAGCAACTCAACGAGACCCTGTCTCTGAATAAAATATATTAAAAAAAAAAAAAAAAGGCTGGGAATGTGGCTCAGTGGTTAGGTGCCGCTGGGTTCAACCCCTGGTACCAAAAAAAAAAAAAAAAAAAGGAAGAAAAGAACAGAAGGCGAGGAGGAGAAAAGAACTAGTCTGTCGAGGGCGTTGCTGACGTGTGACTTGGGAAACAGCACATGCCAAGGCAGATGGCGGGGAGAGGAGCACAGGTGTGCGCTGTGCACCTCCGGGAGTGAGGGAAGGTTGGGTGGGCACAGTGCTGCCCTGCTCCTCACCTTGGAGTCCCCTGAAAGCTTTCTGTGCCTGGCGGGGGAGGCCCCTCCCTGGACTCAGGGACCTGGCCAAGTGTTTGCCCCGGGGCAGGTGGAGTGGGGGCTGGGGGCTGGCCTCACTCTCTCCTCCTTGCCCTGGGCCAGGTGAAGAAGATGGGTGAGCTGGGACTTCTGGCCATGGACGTGCCCGAGGAGCTGGGTGGTGCCGGCCTCGACTACCTGGCCTATTCCATCGCCATGGAGGAGATCAGCCGCGGCTGTGCCTCCACCGGAGTCATCATGAGCGTCAACAATGTGAGGCCCTCCTGGGCTCCCGGGACCTGCAGGTTGCGGGAGGCTCCCGTGGGTGGGCAGGACCCTGCCAGGGAGCAGCGGCCAGCGGCCAGCCTAGGCTCCCAACCCTCGCCTCCCTGGAGTAGCCTCTGGACTTTGTCCTGTGGAGTGGACCTCTGGAGACCGCAGGCCACTGGGAGGCCTCTGACCGCTGCCTGCTGTCCTCCCAGTCTCTCTACTTGGGGCCCATCATGAAGTTTGGCTCTGCGGAGCAGAAGTGGCAGTGGGTCACACCTTTCACCAGTGGTGACAAAGTTGGCTGCTTTGCCCTCAGCGAACCAGGTACTGTGGGCTCACTTCAGAATCAGGTGACACCTGGATGGGAGCTGGGGGCCCCTGGGAGAGGCAGGGACAGAGCCTGTGCTGCTGGACCAGGTGCAGCTCCCTGTCCCACGGCCAGAGGGAAGGCCCTGTGGGCAGCGGAGGCCATTTGCCGGGGAAGGGAATGCTGCTGCCCCTGGTGTGCAGGGAGGACTTGGCTTGGGGTCCTTCCGGCTTGGAGGCTGGGCCTGAGTCTGTGTGTGGTGCAGGGAACGGCAGCGATGCCGGAGCCGCCTCCACCACAGCCCGGGCCGAGGGCGACTCGTGGGTCCTGAATGGCACCAAAGCCTGGATCACCAATTCCTGGGAGGCCGCAGCCACCGTGGTCTTTGCCAGCACAGACAGATCACTGAAGAACAAGGTGGGCCAGGCTTGCAGGGCCCTGGGCTATTGTCCTTTCGTTTGAGACCCTCCTGGCCTGTGCCTGCTCTGGTGGGGCCTTCCCTCCCCCTGGAATCCGCACCTCCTCCCACCAGGCCAGCAGAGGGGGTGGGAGCCCCAGGCTGCGTTGGCTGTCTTGGTGCATCCAGCCTGGCAGCCTCACGAAGCCTCTTGGGGCCTTCCAGGGCATCAGTGCCTTCCTGGTTCCCATGCCAACTCCTGGACTCACGTTGGGGAAGAAGGAGGACAAGCTGGGCATCCGGGCCTCATCCACGGCCAACCTCATCTTTGAGGACTGTCGCATCCCCAAAGAGAATCTATTGGGGGAGCCAGGGATGGGCTTCAAGATAGCCATGGTGAGCCTGGCAGTGGGCAGTGCCCTGGGGCCAGGCCCTGGGCCCCGCTGCACAGCCACTGACAGGCAGGCGGTCCCCACAGCAAACCCTGGACATGGGCCGCATCGGAATTGCCTCCCAGGCCCTGGGCATTGCCCAGGCCGCCCTCGACTGTGCTGTGAACTATGCTGAGAACCGCCAGGCCTTCGGGGCGCCCCTCACCAAGCTCCAGGGCATCCAGGTATAGGTATGGGGCCAGGGCGGTGTCTTTCGCAGCTGGGTCTGGAGCCAGGGGCCTCTTTCTGGTCCTGCGTCTTCCTCCCCCTTGTCCCTGTCCTTGGAGGGAGGAGATGTACTTGCTGATGGAGGGGGCTGGGTTGTTGCAGTTCAAGCTGGCAGACATGGCCATGGCCCTGGAGAGTGCCCGGCTGCTGACCTGGCGCGCTGCCATGTTGAAAGATAATAAGAAGCCCTTCACCAAGGTGCGTGTGGGGTGGGGACACAGGGTACCCTCTGAGGGAGGTGTCGGGTGGGTCTCTGTTCCTTGGCCCCCTGTGGTCAGAGGGGTGGGCCTGTGGGGTATTGTGCAAAGGGTCTCCCACAGGTTCACCCCTGCTGCAGGGCTGTGGAGTGGGGGGCTCCCCTTCAGGGGAGGTTGCTGACTGACATCCCGCTGGTTAGGAGGCGGCCATGGCCAAGCTGGCTGCATCGGAGGCCGCTACAGCCATCAGCCACCAGGTGAGCGTCCAGGTGCTCCCCTCCTCCTGGGTGCAGGGCCCTCCCCATCTTCACCTCCTGAGCCCCTGCTTTCTGTCTTAGGCCATCCAGATCTTGGGCGGCATGGGGTACGTGACAGAGATGCCCGCTGAGCGCCACTACCGTGACGCCCGCATCACTGAGATCTATGAAGGCACCAGTGAGATCCAGAGGCTGGTGATTGCTGGGCACCTGCTCCGCAGCTACCGGAGTTGAGCCTCTGAGGGACCAGTGCCCAGCTGGCAGCGCCACGTGCCTCACCTTGACTCCAGGCAGACCGTGGGCGGGCACCTGCCTCTGCAGGCTCCCCGGCTCCCTGCTCCACAGATCAAAGTAAATCTCAGGGAGAGGACAGGCCAGCTGCCGTGGCCTGTGTCTGAGGACACGTCCATCATCAGCATGGATCCTGGGTCCTGATGCCCCTTCTGACCGACTGTGCCTCATTTTATAACCCTGAGTGGCCATGGCCTCCTGCAGGCAGGACCTTGGGGAGGGCTAAATGACACAGTGGCACCCCAGTGCCGTCCTGTGGACCCTGTACCTGGGCATGGAGACTCAGGAGGGACAGGCTCTCCCCAGGGTCAGGGCCCAGGAGGAGCAGGTGGGTGCCTTAGCAGCTGTGGTCAGGCCCTGGGGTCCCTGGCTGGGAAGGACTGCAGGGCTGGGTTATGGAGCCGCCTCAGGTCCGGGTGGGTACAGTGTGTAGCCTTCTGGTCGTGTGGGGACTGACTGCTAATAAAGCCTACCTGTGCCTTCCCCGCCTGTGTCCTTGTCCTCCCCGGTGAGTCTTTTGTCCGTGTGGTCCCTGCTGTCGTCAGCAGACCCCACCCTGCATGGGGTAGGCCACTGGTCTTGGAAAGCCCCAGGCTTGGGGGGTCGGGCTGCTCAAGAAGGCTCAGGAGAACCAGGAGCCTCTCTGACGTCACATCCAGTGCCAGCAGGGAGGCCTCCCAGGGATTGTTGGGGGGGGTCCCTAGGCAACCCCTGTCCACAACCACAGATGAGGGAGGAGCAAGACTCTTGAGGGTGGGGGACCCAGGTGGGTGGAATCAGACTGGAAAGGCAACTTTTGGGGACTGGGGTGGTGGCTCAGTGGCAGAGCACTTGCCTAGCACATGTGAGACATTGGGTTTGATCCTCAGCACCACAGTAAAGGTCATCGACAACTAAAAATATCTTTTTTTTTTTTTTTTTTAAAAGGCAACTCTTTTTGCTTAGTGTTTGAATGCTCCAGGCACTGCCCCCACTGAGCCAGCCTAGAAGAGGGACTTGCCAGGGTCCCAGTGCCCTGCTGGGCAGGATCTGGGCATGGGTGCCTGATTTAGCTGCTTGGGACAATGTTGTATGTGACTGAGAATCTGGAGAGAGAAACGCAACAAAGCTCTCAAAGGAGGTGGGCCAGCTCTGCCGTGGGAAGGGCAGGGAGGCCAGCTGTCACTGCAGGGGGTTCTCTGGAGGGCACACAGAGGGAGAACGATGACCCTTTTGAAGCCTTTGTCCACGGGCTGCTGAGCACTCCAAAGCCCTCACTGCTTATGGACGGCAAGGGGCCTGCCTACAGTTCCTGACCTTGGCCACCTGGGCCCGTGGCTCCCACGTGCAAGGCCTGCGCTGCACACCTGCAGCCCAGCATCGGGCAGGAGAAGGCCTGTGGGCCAGGCCCGGGGAGGAGGAGCTTCTTGTGCAGATTTAGGTCCTGATTTCCCGCACTGCTCAGGTGGGCTCTGTGGGCAGGGCGTGCACCTTGGCTCCTGCGAGGTGCTTCCTCTCATGCGTTGAGGGCAGGCAGCCTCCTGGGGGCTTGCAGAAGTTTGGGGATCTGTCCTCCTCCTGGTTCCAGGTGAGTGCCCACATGGGTCTCCTGTGCTTTTTTCCACTGGGCTCTACAGGTGTGGAGCAGAGGGGGCTTCAGGGTGTCTCCCAGAAGCCGCATTTGACTCTCCCGCCCTAGGGGCAGATGACAATCTGTCACTCCCTGGGTGGGGGCCCTGTGACCTGGGAACGGTGGAGATAGGGTGGTCAGAGAAGGCTCCTTGGTCTCTAGCGGGTGGTGCTGGTTCTTGGCCCAGGAGTGGTAGAGGACACGGCCTTGAGGGAAGCAGTTTGGGGGATGGTCCTCTAGGTGGCAGGGGAGGGGGAGGTGTGAGGCTCAGAGAGGAGCAGGGGGTGCCCAGACTGAACCTGGGCCCTAGGCAGAGGCAGCTGGTCTGGAGGCCCAGCTGACCTCTCTCAGGACTCTGGCCATACCTGATTGGTGCTCAGGCCCTGAGGGTCCTCAGGGTCACCAGCTCTACCCTCTGAAAAGTATCTTGAGTGTTGAAGGTGGTGACAGCCAGCCTGAACCAGGCTGTGCCCAGCAGGGAGAGGGCATTGTCCAAGAGGTGGTCGCAGGTTCCTACTTCCAGGCCTGTGTGGACCTCAGAGCAAAGGGCTGGCTTTGGAAGTCAAGTGTTGTCCATTTGTGGATGAAGGAATTGAAGCTCCAAAGCCAAGATCCAGTTGTGTGCCCCAAGGAGCCGTCCTGAGTCCCCGGTCTGTCCCCTCTCTTCTGGGAAAGAATCAACACACGAACCTGTGACTTCCGCCAGGTACTGGCCTGTTTGCTGAAGCTCCCGCTTAATTAAAACTAAGTTCTAGACTGCACCCCTGAGCCTGTCTGAACCTAACTATTGGAGAGTCAGTTGAGACATGGGCCTTGGCATGTGTTTCCAAGAGCAAGGACGCTCACCTGTGTAGCAACAGGACAATCACCCAAGCTGTCCAAGCTGCAGACATACGATCAGATTTTACCAATTGTCTCAATGTCTTCCAGGTGATGTTTTTCAAGGTCAGGCCCAGGCATTGCCTGAAGTTGAGAGGTCACCTGTCTCCTTCGCTCTAGGGCAGCTCCCCAGACTGCGACCCGTGTTCACGACTTTGGCATTTTAGAAATGGCCAGGCTGGTGGTTTGTAGACTGTCAATCTAGATTAGGCCGATGATGTCCTCACGATTAGCTGCACGGTGTGTATCACTGGCAAAAATCCTATAGCTGTGACTCTTTGACGCCTGACAGAGCATTTGGATTTTATCCTTAATCTCCTGAGAGCTGACAGTTTTATTAGTCTTATAAATTATATTCATCTTTGTAAAGGCAGTCTAATTGTTGGCTTTATTAACACTTAATATTTGGTTTTGGGGCTGGGGCTCAGAGGTAGAGCACTTGCCTAGCACGTGTGAGGCACTGGGTTCGATCCTCAGCACCACATGTAAATAAATAAATAAAGGTCCATCAACAACTAATAAAATCTTTTTTAAAAATTCAATATTTGTTTTTTAAATTGTATTCAATAGTTCTAATGCTTCCTTCTATGTTTTGTTTTTGTGGATTTTTTAAAAATTTTTTTGTGGTTGTAGATGGGTTGCATGCCTTTATTTTTTTATTTTATATATATATATATATATATATATATATATATATATATATATTTACCTTTATTTGTTTATTTTTATGTGGTGCCTGGAATTGAGCCCAGTGCCTTGCACATGCTAGGCAAGCACTCTACCACTGAGCCACAGCCACAGCCCTTTTTGTAATTCGATTTTTTTTTTTTTTCATGATTTTTGTTTTGGTTTTTGGTGGTGCCCGGGTTAAAACCAGGGCCTTGGATACGCTAGGCAAGTGCTGGCTCTGCCACTAAGCTGTCGCCAGCCCTGATTTGCTTTTCCTTTCCACCTTCCTAGGCTGGCTGCTGTTGATTGCTTTTGTTCTCTTTTCTAATAAATGAGTTAAAAGTTCCACATTTCTTTCTAAGTGTGACTTTCCCTTCATCTCACAAATTTCGAATGTCATATATTCTTTATGACTTGGTTTTCTAGGTTCCATATACTTTCTCCTGTATTAGTTATTTAGAGGACTTGAGGTATTTTTTGTTACTGATTTTTTAAAAAATTATGATGAAATTGATCACACACACCTGTCATCCCAGCAGCTCAGGTGGCTGAAGCAGGAGGATCAAGTTCAAAGTCAGCCTCAGCAATGGCGAGGCCCTAAGCAATATAGGCACTAAGCAGTTTAGAGGCCCTGTCTCTAAATAAAATACACAATAGGGCTGGGGATGTGGCCCAGTGGTCAAGTGCCCCTGAGTTCAATCCCTGGTAACCGTCCCCCCAAAAAATATTTATTTATTTTTTTTTAAATATATATATTTTTAGTTGTAGTTGGACACAACACCTTTATTTTTATTTATTTATATATATGTGGTGCTGAAGATGGAAATCAGTGCCCTGCACGTACCACAACCCCAGCCCTCAAGTTTAACTATTTCAAAGTGCAATTTAGTGGAATTTAGGACATTTACAATGTCTAATTTGTCAAAAGGAAATTCTATACCCATGGTTACTGATGTCTACCTCGATTGTATTATGGACTCAAAACATTTTCTGCAGTATCTAAATTCTTCAAAATTCATTGAAATTTGCTTCAGGAGCCCAAGTTACTTTTCTATGAAAAGTGAACATGTTTCAAAGATTTTTTTTTCCCATGTTGGTACATGTAGCTTAGTTCATTTGCTTTGATTGCTGCATGAAGTCCCCTCGTGTAAACATACCATATTGAGGTTATTCCCAGTTTTTCACTGTTCTAAACCATGAATATTCTGGAATGTGTCTCCTTGCTCATGAACTTCTCAGCATTTAAGTAGAAGTGAGCTCACTGTGCCATAGGCATCTGGCTTCTTTACCAGATATCACTGAAGTGCCCTCCGGGCTGATTAGACCAGGAGGGGTCCCTCTGACAGTGTTCAAGACTGTCCCTTACAGGTTTTCTGCAGTCTGGTATGACTGCACATCGTCTCAGTGTTGATTGACCATTCTGCGGGAATTGCCATCCGTGTCTCGTGTTTCTTCCTTACTGATTGGCAAATGTCCATGGGTAGACCTGAACTCATTTATCAGCTGTAGAGTTGCAAAAAGACCTAGAGTGTGGCTTTCCCTTTTTAAAATGTCTTTTTATATGTGAATGTTAACTTTTTAAAAAATTGTTTCACAAGTTTTTCTGTGCACTGCAAATGTTTCAAATACACGTTTCATGGTTAAAAAGGTCAGTCACCTTATTGGGGGTGGTCTGGGGGCATCCTTCCAGACCTTTCCTGTGGATCTACGAGCATCTCATTTATGAGCCCCCTGCAACAGGACCAGTACGATATTACTCGGCTTCTTTTTTTCTACTTTACATTTTTCTGCATCAGTATGTTCTAATAACAGGTTCTTTTTAACTGTCTCGAAACCCTCAGTGGTATGGCTGCGCCTTCAGTTCTGCCAACTTGCTCTCCAGTGTCCACTCCCACCAGCTGCAGGGACACCCCAGTCCCACATCTTCTCCAACACCAGACGTTATCAGGTGCTGTGGTTTGGCTCTTGAGTGTCCCCCAAGGGCCCACATGTTAAAGGCTTGGTCCCCAGGTTGGTGCTCTTGGGAGGTGAGGGGGCCCAGTGAGAGGTCTGGGGTCACTGGAGGTGTGCCTCACGGGGGACTGGGCCCCACCCCTCTCTTTTCTGCTCTCTGGCACAAGGTGACCAGAGGCCCCTGCCTCGCCACAGGCCCAGAAGCAATGGCATCTATAAAGCCAGGAACCGAAATCTCTGAAATTCTGTGAGCCAAAATAAGCCTTTTTTGTTTTGTTTTTTGTTTTGGTACCAGGGACTGAACCCCAGGGCACTTTAGCACTGAGCCCCATCCGTGGCCCTTTTAATTTGACAGAGGGTCTCCCCATGCTGC